TAATAGTAGAATAGGCTACAAATAATAGCCGTAATTCTGCTTAAGTAACGGTATTTTGCTGACCAAATCTTGGAAACATTTGGAGCAGTGTACATAACACTGATTCCATTGAAATCAGTTCTGTTGCACAGACACTGTAATCCTCTTCTGAGGATTACTCTGAACCTGTGAATAAATTTCTCAGTGTGGCAAAGCCATCTTTTATTTTGCTAGTTTTATTTGCTCATAAAGCTGGGAGAGGACTGTGACAGTTCACCTTCACCACCTTCACTCCATTAACTGTGCAATCTTTCTTTCTTTGTCTGCTTTTGAAAACATTGAGGAAAACATGCAATCTATTCCAGTATGTCACTATCCTTAGTCACTAGAAATTTTCCCCCAGTTTCTAGCCTAAATATCTCTTGACACAATTCCAGACTGTTAGATCATGTCCAATATTCATGCAGCAATCTACTATACTGTTTTATCGTGATGTCGTATGAATTATTTAAGCATTCTTGAATAAATTATTTTACATACTGTGCCTGCTGGCAAAGTTTGAATTAAATAGTAAAAGCCATAGCAGAAGGTAAAATGCCAAAATTTTGTTTGAGGATGCACTTCTAAAAATAGCCCTTCATCTAATATGTTTAGCTGCAGATTTGTAAAGGCATAATTGATATTCATGCATTGTGCTCTCTTGAGTATTAATTCTTTAAAGTTACCATACCACAAGTCACTGAAACAAATTGCCCTGTATTTGCTTCTGAGAGCATCTGCAATTGTCTGCAACCTGATCATCATCCCAGGCTTATCTTTCTTTTTTCTTTTTCAGTATTTATTACTGAGGAGTCTGCCTGCCTAAATGTCTCTAAACTCATTTTTTATTGAAAATTCAAAATAAACTAAGAATAGGCGAAGAAAAAATAGCCAACATAAATGCTCCATAATTACTGGGGAATGTTGCTTATGATTAAATACAAATACATTACTTTTTTATCTTAACTAATCTTCTTATCTTTACTAGAACTGCCTTTTTATACTTGTTTTAAAAGAACACTAATGTCCGCTGGTACCTTAACAACTGATTTTTTCGGTCTTTAGTTGCTGACAAGGCTGCCTACCTGATGGGTCTGAACTCAGCTGACCTGCTCAAGGCCCTCTGCTACCCCCGAGTCAAGGTTGGGAATGAATATGTGACCAAGGGTCAAACCGTGCAGCAGGTAACAAAAATCCCTATTTTGTTGACAAATCCTCTGGACTTCCTCTTTTGCTCTGCATGATAACTGCAAGCCTTCTGTTTTTTATTTTAGGTATACAATTCAGTAGGTGCCTTGGCAAAGGCTGTGTTTGAGAAGATGTTCTTGTGGATGGTTATTCGCATCAACCAACAGCTGGATACCAAGCAACCGAGACAGTACTTCATTGGTGTCCTGGACATTGCTGGCTTTGAGATCTTTGATGTAAGAACAGTGTTTTATTACCATGCTTTTAGAAGTAACACTTTAGAAGTGTGCCAAAGTACTTAAGAAGGAATTATGGTTTTGTTTTTTTTTTTTTTTTGCGGGAATGGTTTGATCATTTCAGATTACATCTAAAGCATCATGATTCCCACAGGTTTTTAATTGGGAATAGATTTTTGTGTTGCACATATGCCAATGGAAATCCATAAATGCAGTGTTTTGACTGATTACAAACAGTAGACTAACATGGTGTTTGGTACCTAATGCAGAAACGCCAGTTCCATAGACACAATTTGTGCTTAGAATTCTTGGGACGTGCTTTGAAATCAGCACTTGGAAACGTTGGATAAACTGTTGCACTGTGGACTTTCCCGTAAATGAATTAGCCCGGTCTAGCAGAAATCAGAACTGACAAGTCTGAAATATTAAAGTGGCTTAAGCTTCTAGGGGTCATAAACATATGGATAAAGTTTAGCTTGACAAAAGAGACATACTGGAAGAAGTTCCAAACTGCTGGCTGAGGAAAGAAGGAACACTTGCACATCCTCCTGTAATTTGGTACAAAAAGCCAGCACTGTTCTTTATCCCTACCTTTCTAAATTTACATTAATAGTAATCTCTATTTGTAATTGTGCAGTTCAACAGCCTGGAGCAGCTGTGCATCAACTTCACCAATGAGAAACTGCAACAGTTCTTCAACCACCACATGTTCGTGCTGGAACAGGAGGAGTACAAGAAGGAAGGAATTGAATGGGAGTTCATTGACTTTGGGATGGACCTGGCTGCCTGCATTGAACTCATTGAGAAGGTATTTGTGTAATTCACGATGTCTACTATTTTCAGAAATGCATTAATTTTTTATGTATTTATAAACATAGCTTGAAAGGGTAAATGTGATATTGTAAATACATAAGTTTAGATTACTTTACAGTTTGCTCCGCTGAGCAGAACAATCCCTGAGAGTGTTAATATTGTCCCACTCAGGAAGCTATTTCTTTCTGCCTTTTCACCTTTTCCTCCTTCCTTCTGCTTCTTCCAGCCCATGGGCATCTTCTCCATCCTGGAAGAGGAGTGCATGTTCCCCAAGGCAACTGACACCTCTTTCAAGAACAAGCTCTACGACCAACATCTGGGCAAGTCCAGCAACTTTCAGAAGCCCAAGCCTACCAAAGGGAAGGCTGAGGCCCACTTCTCCCTGATACACTATGCTGGCCCCTGGCTGGCTTGACAAGAACAAGGACCCCCTGAATGAAACTGTTGTGGGGCTGTACCAGAAATCATCAATGAAGACACTGGCCTTACTCTTTGCCTCTGTTGGAGGAGAGGCAGGTCAGTTCTGCAAAATTCATATTTTCATTTTTATTTCATGACCCTACAAGAACCATGAATATCAGCTAAATTGTTCTAAAGAAACTGCATGTGGTGCAGAGTCTCCCATGACTTGAATTTATTAATAAAGGAAAAGATCAAACGTATTTCAGGCCTTCCACTCAGCCATGATAATCCCTTGGATTATCACACACCTTTGGTCCTGTGTTCCTTTAGGTTGAGTGTTGACCCTGTTTCCCACTGCGTCCTGTGTTCCTTTCTTAGCATGACTGATAAATATGAACAAACTTCTTGCAGTCTCATAGAAAAAAATTTTACAAGTCAAAGTTGTAAACCCACCTTTTTTTGGTGTTCTTCAGAGAGTGGTGGTGGTGGCAAGAAGGGAGGCAAGAAGAAGGGTTCTTCTTTCCAGACTGTATCAGCTCTTTTCAGGGTAAGTACAGAAGTCATTCTCTCTTTTTTTTTTCCTCCTTTTTTTTTTTAGTTGAAGACTGTGAAACCTCACACTAACTCCAACAAGGCCATTTTACTGCACCTATCAACATTTTTCTGCACCAAAAACATCTCTTCAGTTATTCATAAAAGAGCTGACTGCAAGTCAGCTGAGGCCAGCTGAGGAAGATACATGTTGATCTAGCCTTTCTGCAAATGTTCGAAAAAGTACATAGGTCAGGCTACAGTTTCATTTACTCATGAGTACACCGTTGGTAGGATTAAGTTCTTCCTTCTCTCCCTCTGCCTTGGGAGGACAATGGTGGATGTGGCTACCTGCCTCAGGGAATCTCAAGTCTGGATTGGCATATACAAATGTATGTGCATTTGCACATGATAATACATAACACATAATTGTTTGCACATGATTATGCATATGAAGACAAGGCAATAGGGAAATGCCAAGGCCAGTTACCTTTCCACCAATGGACAGAGCTTAAGGCATATGGAAACACTCTTGTTTCAGAACCTGTGGCATCTAGCTATCTGGCATCCTGAACAGTTTTTCACGCTGTGAAACAGGTATTTGTCTGAGCAGCTTTGCCCCTGCTCCAAACCAGGTCTAAACTGAGAACTGTTAGGACCTAGCTAGTAAAAATGATTGCTAAAATCAGAGATAGTTCATGGGTTTGCTTTTAAAAACACTTCTAGAAAGGAGTGCTGTAGGAACCTGCCACTCATGCCTTTTCTCTATGACTTATGACCCCCATTCTCACTGAACAGGGAATCTTTCTTGTCTTTCCCTGCTCAACCTCTGACAAATATATCTTTACAAGTAGCACCTAATGCCATTAAGCTTCCCTTTCTCAGCCTTCTCTGCAAACTTGGTCCTTGCCCCTCTTTCCTTTTGTCCTATTTTTGGTTTTGTTTCTGTTCCCATCAACAGTCAGTGTCTTCCATAGAGTGAAAACCTGGTGATTACAAATAATCATCTTTCACTCAAAATTATGCCTTTTGCCATGAACTTCTGGTCACCATTCTCCATAGATGTCCTGTCTGAGTGGATGTATCCCTCAGTCTCATGAAAACACATTACACAGTTTTGTGACTTTCTCTCATGCTCAAGACTGAAAGGCAGAAGAAAACTCAAATTAGGATGGCTATAGGTGGGAATAATAAATCCATCATTGCTTTCCAACACTTTTCTCACATCTGACAGTATAACTGCAAAGGTACCATTTGTTAATGAAAAATCTTTGCTCATGAACCCACAGGAGAACCTAAACAAGCTGATGACCAATCTACGGAGCACTCACCCCCATTTTGTGCGCTGTATCATCCCCAATGAAACAAAAACACCTGGTAAGAACCTCAAGTAGAGAGAAATCATAATATGATGCAGTCATTATTCTCTATGCTTTATCATGAAGTATCAAATAATTGTCTTATTTGCTTAGGTGCCATGGAGCATGAACTGGTGCTACACCAGCTGCGCTGTAACGGTGTGCTGGAAGGGATCAGAATTTGCAGGAAGGGATTCCCCAGCAGAATCCTCTATGCAGACTTCAAACAGAGGTAAGTTTCCTTTCTGCTCTCCATTCCGTCTTTACTGCAGAAGTTGTACATCTTAACCATTTTAACATTTGTGGTTATTTTTTAATGCCAACTCTATCTGATTGTAACTGAAAGAAGGGGAAAATGCTGAAATGTATAACCAAAGGCAACATGTATGGCTAGCAAAAGAGAAATTGTTAAGAAATGAAGTGATAAGGCAGGTGTCCTCACTGATTGCTGTTCATCAAACAGCTGAACTTTGCCAGTGTCTCTGAATATGGAAGCACAACAGAGCTACACAAGGCCAGTGCTTACAATATTAAAAAATGCAGATTGGGATGTGGCTACAACACATTCTCAGACACAAACTACAAACTCAGTCGGAGTGCTTTGGCTATTGTATCAGCTGCAAGTTTCAGGGGAAGTTGCTTCCTTCCTATATACATATTGGCAATGTTCCTTTCTAGCAATTTTCTACAGCATAGTTTAAGTGAAAAAGATATTGGACTGAAATGGCTGGAGATCAGTGTCCTCTTTTCATCTATGACTGATCACCTAAAGACAGTAAAAGTTTCTTTAATTTTGTTATCACATTAGGACTTCATTATAACTGTATCTATAAACAAGGGATGGAATTCCAACTTCCTCAGCCTGATTCTGCCGCTAGGACTGCTGCTAATTTCAATAAACAGTACGACCTTATGACTTGAGATTGCCTTCATTCATATTTCCTCTCATTCCACAGATACAAGGTGCTTAATGCCAGTGC